GGAGAGGGCCGCTCCAGAGTGGGGGCGAGTGAGCAAAGGCCCGAAGCTGGAGAAAGTCAGATCTGTGATGGAGAATGACTAACAGTTTGGACTTGCCAAGTAAGATGAGGGATGTATGTTGGTGCCAGACTGTGGGCTCTCAATGGCTGAGGATCCCAGACTGTCTCTGTGAGGTAATCTGGAGCCACTGGAGATTCTGGAACAGGAACAGGGCCACTTTTGTCCCCAGCAGACTGAGCTGGCGTCCACGTGAAGGATGGACTGGAGAAGGCGGGGAGGCGGCTGCGGAGTCAGGCCAGAAGCACCAGGGCAGCTGAAGAAAAGGTCAGATATGGGGGCTGCGCCCATAGGACTGGGGGCTGTGGGGCGGGGGTTTCGAGTGTGGGAGAGAGAACCTAAGACCAAGAAGTTGAAGCTGACAGGAAGTCATCTGGGGATGATGTCTCTGTCCTTTAGGCCGTTGGTGCTAGTACTGTAGCAGTAGCCATGTTCCGTACCATGTGGCCATGGCTGATTGGACCTCACCCAGGGCAGCAGTAGCTTGTATGGTGGCCTCAGATGAGAGCCTTGTCCACCCACAGACACTGAGAAAGGCTGGATGACACAGCGTCTCTGTGCGGAGTTTGGGAACTGGTTACTCAGTGGTGGGAAGAAGTGGAAGGCTGAGAAGCTGGGCGGAGAGGAGTGGAGTCTCAGAGCCTATGCATGCATGCTGCGGTGGGGGGCGCCCAGCCTCGCGGCTGAGGCTCGGGAGATGACCGGGCCTGGAGCCGCACTCGCCTAGTCCACCCTCCAGTTCCCAGGCTCCTGGGCGGCTGCCCGGGGCCGGTCCTTCCAGCGAGCCTGGGCCCTGTGGTTCTTCCTGATCCCAGAGGCCTGACTCGCGTATTCCAAGCATGAACTTGACGATGCAGCCCCCTGCACTTTGGGAGCCTCAGTGGGCTTCTGTTCCTGCCACCAGAAGCTTCTGAGCTCCTGTCACCAACCCTAAGGGACTGCCTAAGTCCAAACTGGTGAGATAAATTCTTTTACCAAAGATATGAAATGAGCCACAATGAAACCCACGGCCCTGGTAGGTGTGGCTGGGGGACTTCCTTGAGGTCAAAAATGAGGGTTTTTCCGCTGGGGTCCCTCAAACAGGATATACTGGGAAACAGCCTGGAATAGGGTGAAGTGGGTGAGGCTCTTGGCTGGGGCACAAAATTTAAGGGGGATGGTAATCAAGAGAAATAATATTTAAATACAATATTTTAAAAAATCTGTATTAAAACAAAAATATCCATGATGAACAAAAAAAAAAAATCGAAATTTTAAACAAAGACAGGCTGTTGTTTGTTTTAATGATTCCACGTGGCTCTGGTGTCCCAAACCGAGTTTATAGTTGTTGACAAAGGCGAGCCAACAGCCTGGGAAATGTGGGGCTTTATGTACAGTCATTTTAAAAATAGAGCATTTATTTTTTTTCCCCTTGGCTCAAAACACGGGAGGATATTTTCGTAAGTATGTAAGGGGCGCACACTGTCCCCCTGTGCCTCAGGCTGCGTTACGGGCGCTCCCCGCTTTGAAGCCAGGGAGGAAGGTCGCCCCCAGGCAGCCGAGCAGGCAGGTACCTTCTCCCGCGCCGCGGCCCGGGCTCCCCGGGTGCGGTTCCCGCCGCGGCCAGCAGGGGTCGCTGTGGGGCTGCGCGGCCGGGGCCGTCTGGCCGGGAAGGACCCGCAGCCTCCGCACCCCCGTTGCTGACACCCCAGCGCGAGCACGCCACGGGGAGCTGACCCAGTTGCTCAGCTCTTCGGTGACAAGGCTATCCCTGAGTGTAGAGCACAAAACAAAACCCCAGACATTGCTTCCCTACCCCGTAGCCCCCTGCGCCTGGCCTGCCCCCCAACGGAGGACACCTGAGCCCTGCCCAGCATCACCTCTGGTTGGACCTCATCCCCCCTCTCCTCAAGCAGCTTCGCTAGCCCAGGTTCGGGGTGAATCGCTGATTGCCAATGCCCTCTCTCTAGGAGGGGAGCGGAGAGAACCTTTCTCAAGGGCCGCATGCCAAAACGATTCCAGTTTTGCCTGCTTCAGAAGCTTGTTCACCACTCTGAAGCCAAGTGAAGGGAAATGGGGAGGGGGTCTCTCTTCCCAGAGACCACCCCCTGCCCCCGACCACAGATGCCCCTTCTCTTCTCACAGTCCCTGTGGCCCCACAGCCCCACCCACTCTGGCTCCTGCTTGGCCTGAGCTCACCAGAGGCCATGATGCCCAGGACCTGGCAGGACCCCCGGGTTGCTTCCACCTCCCTTTCCTTTGCCCTCTGCCTCCTGAGACTGCCCTCGTTCATTCACCTCCCTTCCTCTTTCCTTCTCTGCCCCTTCTCTTTCAAGACTCACGGCTCATCTTGGCCCAGTCCAGCCTCCCCCCTTCCATTCGCTCTTCCAGTGGCCTGACGGTCACTCTGTCCTGAGCACTCCCACATGCCCAGCATAGTGGCATACGTCCTTCTCCTCCTGGTACCTGCTTTGCAAGGCAGGCCTCATGTTCACCTTGTTTTAAATTAGAGGCAACCGTGGCTCAGAAAGGCTGAGTGACTTGCCCAAGGTCACACAGTATTAGGAGACAGTCTGTCTCCAGAGCCTGCAGCGCTGCCCCCTGGAAGGGCCCTGGCTGTGCTGTCCTCTCCACTCTGCACTTATGTCTCAGTTTGCACAGCTTACTCTTGGCCCCGTGTACTGGTTGCTTTCTAAGAGTGGTATTTATTTATTCTTTGGATTTCTAGCCAGCATCTTTGCTGTGCCAGGCCCAGGAGATGAACGCGCAGCCTGCATTCAAGTTCACGGTCTGGGAGACAAGACTTTTCCTGTGTGTCAGCTGAATCTTCCCAGGCAGCCGAGAGCCCTCCCAAGGGGCAGAGGCTGCTTCCTGCTTTTCCTGCAGCCAGGGGGTGGTGACCTCCTGGGGGTGGTGACCTCCTGGTCCTTCTTCCAGGAGTTGATGCTGCTGACTCTCGCCTCCATTGTGGGTTGTGACCTCCTGGTCCTTCCTCCAGGAGTTGATGCTGCTGACTCTTGCCTCCATCGTGGGTGGGGGCTGGGCAGACCTGGCCTGAGGCTGTAGGGTGCAGGATAGAGGGCTTGGGAGTGGGGGTCTGGGAGCTGAGAGCTCAGGGAAGATGTTGGGGATAGAGGCTGGTAAGAGCAGACTTCCTTTCTCAAACACGCAGGGGCTGACCCACCACACATAACTTGAGTAGCAGGCCGGCACTTAGCTCTCCAGGTGGTGGACGCCCAGTGCCAGGCCTACAAGGCCGAGGCCCCATCCTTGGCTCTCACTAGACCACTGGACAAGCAGGGCCCTTCCTTTTGAACATCTCTCCCTTGACTCCCCCCTCACTTATTCTGTCCTCACCAGGGAGGAGATTTCCAGAACGAAAGACTAAAAGCCCCCTGACTTTTTTTAATAAGCACAGACACCCTTCCTGCCCCACCGGCCCAGCTTCCAGTTCCCAGCCCTGCGCTCCTGATTAAACAGGCGAGGCCCACCACAGTCGTAAGCCCCAACTCAGAGGGGCCCAGGAACAGAAGGGGGCCCTTGCAGGAGAGGGCTTTCAGGAAAAGGCCTGAGCCCTGAACAAAGGGGGGGAGACAGAGGCGAGGGGCAGGTGGCAGGAAAAGACCAAACACACAGAACAGGAAGAATGAGTCTGTTTAATGACAGTGGCTGGGTCTGGTTACAAACATCAGAAACTACAAAAGGAGGACAGGCAGTTACCGGGACGGCTGCACGGAGACGGTACAGGAGGGGACACAGGCACAGTAGCCACAGCAGCAAAACATCCTTGAGGATGATACACGTGACCAAGGGGCACACACAGGGGTCCCCAGCAACGCTGACCCAGATGTATGGACAGGACCAACCGCCAGCCAGGAGGGGCAAGTGAGGAAAGGCCCTGGGCCCCCAGAGCTCCAGGATGAGATGGAGGCATCTGGTCCTGTCATCTTTGCCCTGCTGAAGAGCAGCCTGGATCCCCCTTCCCACAGGGGCTGTCTTAGTGGCCAAGGCAGATGGGGCTGGCACTGGAGGTCTCTTTACCATGGTCCCTCCTCAGCGCAGTCATCCTGTCCAGAACTTCTGGCCCCCTCTGTCTGCCCTTGCCCATTTTGGGGCAAGTCAAGGACCTACATCCTTTTGGAGGGGGCAGAGGTGGGGAGAGGCAAACACTTTTTGCCTGGAAGTGGAAAGCAGGAATGTGGAGAGCTGGTCAGAGAGAAAGGGCTGGGCTTTGCTGGCAAGCTGGGTCACCCCAACCCTGCCCACAGGCCCGGATCCTCTCTGTGCTGATATGGGAGCCCCATCTCTGCCAGAATATTCTGTCCTCTGCCCAGAAGCATGACCAGGACCCCTCCCTTCCCCACACGCATATGGGCAGAACCGAGGCTTCACAGGTGCCTCTGAGCCCTGCAGATAGACATTATAGATATGTACGTGTATATATATATATATATATGTATTTATATATAGATTGTATATAGAATATATCTGTATATACGGTAGATGTGTGTGTGATACTCTAGATAGGTGGTGTGGAGACCCGCATGCTGGTCGGGCAGATAGAAACGGGGCTGCTTTACTTCCGGACTCACAGACCTGTCCCGATTCCTGCCAGCCGCTCAGCCAGGTCCCTAACCGTGAGTAGAAAAGCTAAGCAGAGTGGGCCTGGCTCTTCAAGGAGGAAGGTTCCCCCACCCAGCAGGCCACCTGCCACCGAGCTGGGGTCAGCATCCAGGCAGCCAGCGCCACCTCCCGGCGGCTGCAGGGGGACTGTGGCAGCGGCAGAGGCAGCTTCTTCCTGGGAAGACGAGTCAGGGATTCCTCCAGCTTCCTTGGCACCCAGAAATGGAGGGTCAAGGAGGGTCTTCAGAACTCGGCCTTCTGCTCAAGGTGCTGCCAGGGAGGGGGGAGGAGAGAGGGAGTCCTATGGCCCCGAGGAGGGCAGCGTGGGCGGTGGGCTGTGGATGAGATGGAGATGGAGGTAACAGGTTACAAGGGGCACGGGGAGGGACCCGGGATCCTGGCAGGGAGGGGAGAAGGGGAGGGAACGGCAAGGCAGCACCCTATCTGCCAGCTACCCGGTGCAGAGCAGTTGAAAGCAACCCACTAGACCCAAGTTCCAATTCCCCTTCTGCTAGGAACCTGCTGTGTGACTTCAGGCAAGCCATTTGGCCCCTCTGAACCCCAGATCTTTTTCTCTAAAATGTGAATAATGTCTGCCTCGCCTACCTCTGTGAGAATTCTATGACATCAACTATGTGAAAGCGTTTCACAAACTGCCAAGAACCGTACAAATGTGAGCTCTTTTTCTATTAATTCTGAGACCCATGCACTCTGGTTGGCCTGTCTGGGTACCCCTTCCGGCCACCCACAGGCATTCTCGGCACATGCAGCGCCCCCAACCTCCCAATTCCCTGACCCACAAAAACACACACAGCCCCCTAAGCAGAGACAGTTCAGTAAACAGTGGCATCTGGCCCACCACTGCTCCCCTGATAAGAGAAGTCGGAGGGAGACCTTCCAGAATTCTGCTCTGTAACCCTCTCCACCCTCTGAGCCCATTTGGACCTTGGCAGCAAGTCGGGTCTGCAGGCCTAGGGAGATATGCCTTCTTCGGGGCCACACCGTGCCCTCAGGGGGACCAGGGGGTGGGAGAGAGTGCAAAGGGATGAGGGGACGATCCCCACGACGTCACAGCTGGGGGGTAACCCAAATGCCAGGTGCCTAGGCCCCGGTGGGAGCAGGGCCCCAGCCAGTCCCTACCCACTGTTGCCCATCTCCATTCAGTCCACAAGAGCAGAAACGAGCAGAGGAGAAGATTTCATCGGTTTCCTAATGTTTGGGGTTTGGCGAGATTTAAGTCCCAGGGGTCCAGCTGGGGCAAGAGAGGGGAGGGGATGGGGCTTCGTGTCGGGAAACGTTGTCCATGTGTTTCTGATTCACTGGGGCTTGTGCCGGCCAGCTCTCTCTCTCACCAGTCCCTCTAGGCCCCTGTAAAAAAGCCCTTTTCTCTAGAAGCAGGAAGTCTTGTCTCCTGGCTGTAAACAAACTCATCTTTGGCGGCAGAGCCTGCCTGGGGAGAGGCGTGGGAGGGCAAGCCCCCTTCCCCCCACTGACCCCTCCCTGGCCCCTCTGGCTGCTTCCGGCAGCCATCCCGGCTCTGCCAGCGCCTCCTCGGGCAGGTAAAAATCTCCTGCCTGCTTCCCATCCACCCCGGGGTCCGGGCAGGTCAGGGCCCAGCTGTGCACATCTGGCGTCGCTGCCTGGCTGCAGCCAGCAGTTCCTGGGACTCTGCTCTCCTGGGGTGGTGCCGATGCGGGGGAAGGGAGCAGGAGCAAGCCGGGCCCAGTGTGGTCAGCGGCAGGAAGGTCAGGAGGCCTGGCCTCCCAGGGCTGCCCTCAGGGGACCTCCTCCGCAGAGCTGCATGAAGCAAGGCCTATGGCAGGCGGTCGGCAGGCTCCGCGGGCCAGCTGCAAGCCCGGGAAGGAGACCCGCCTTTTCCATGGGAAACTGCTGGGAATGTTTCTCTACAAACGCGTGTCCTGAGCTGCTGGCTGACCCCTGCTTCCCATTCCCGCCTCTGCTTCTTTCTCTCCTTCCTACTCCAGCCCTGCCTCCATTGAGCTCCCAGAGCCAGCCGCCCCTTGGGGGCCCAGGGAGGCCGGAGTGTTCCCAGCCGCCATGTCTGGGGGCCAGCCCTCCCCTCGTGCTCTGAGTCACTGAGGCTGGCCACCCTCCTTGAGCCCATCTTCCGGGCCCTCACTCCAGAACTGGGAACCCGGCCTCCGGGGTCAGCCCAGAAGTAACCGCCCTTGCTGGTGTGCGTGAGAGTGACGCCTCCGCAGACCCCGGGTGGGCTCGTGCATGTGCACACATGTGCACATGTCCTTGTGATTCTCCTGGCTCCAGCCTGTTGAGGCAGAGGTGGGAGGGAGCACTGGTCAGCATTAGATGAAAAACAGCCCCATGTGATTGATACCCAGGGAGGAAGTGGCCGGAGCTGGCCTGGGCTGCCTCTGGGCCCGATTAGCCAGCCTTCCCGCCAGCAACCTTCGGCGCCTCTCTGCCGGGGCGGCCACAGTCTTGGGGTGCTCTGAGCACTCCCTTGTTCTAGGGAACGGGATGGCCCTGTCCCAGGGCTCGCAGCTCTGTGTGGATGGGAGTGGGGCCCCTGGGTCTTTTCCTATGGTGCCAGACCCCAGACCCAGCCTGCTGGAAGTGCTCCTGCCCTGGCAGTCAGCCCCTGGGCCCCGGGAGAGATAGGAGACCAGGACAGGGGAGGACACGGCAGGGAGCTGCCCGGCCCACCCTCACCCCTCCTCACGTGGTGGCGTTGGGGACCTGCTGTACCCAGCCCACTTCCTTGTAGGCAGCTGTCACGTGGCTGTAGATGAGGCTGCGGAGCTTGGCCCAGGCTCTCTGCGTCTCAGCTGGGAAGTCATCGGCAAATTCCTCAGCGATCACCTCCAGAATAACCCCAGAGAGGATCTGGGGGCAGAGGGAGGAAGGAGGAGTAAATGCCTGGGTGCCTGCCCCCAACAGCACCCCCTGCATCCCTTCTATCTGGTGTTTGGCCAAAGGGACCCTTCATGACAGAACGGCCCAGCAGCTTTGGGAACCAAACGCCCTCAAGACAAAAGCTGCCCTGGACCCAGCCCCCCACCCTGCTGCCTGTCCCTGTCACAGCCACGCCAGGGGAAGAAGCTGGGTGGCCCAGTGGTCTCTTCTGGCTGCAGGTGGCTGTAGTGAGTGGGCCCTGGGGGGCTCTGGGGTGGAGCAGGGTGGGCGGTGGGCTGGCGGCACCCACCGGGTGACATACCTTGAAGTACACGGGCTCCACCTTGTGCTTGAGGGCATGGGCTTTGCCCACGAGGGCGAGCACAGAGGACACCTTCTCGGGGTCGTGCAGGTTCTCCACAACAGTGTTGAGGGCCCCCATGACCCGGCAGGCGTGCTTCCGCAGCTGGGGGCTCCGTTCCATTTCCAGGGGCTCTTCCATGTGCTTGAACTGGCTGAAGTACTGCTTGGCCGACGGGAAGTTCACAAAGAACCTGGCAGGAGGGAGGTGGGGGACGCTGAAGCAGGGGGCTGCCTTGGGCCCCACCCTGAAGTGGTCAGGACAATGTGGGGGTTCGGGGGTGGGAGAGGCAGGACCCAGTCCCACCCACACCCCCACCCACACCACAATCATTGTTTTCATCACCGTGTGTAGCTGTCCTTAACACAGACCCTCCCTCTGGCCGAGCTGGCTTCCCACAGCCCCCTCCCCAGGTCCCGGCCGTTTCTATCCACCAGGCTTGCTCAGGCTTGCAGCTTCGTCTCCAGGCCTCTGCCTTCCGTACTTCTTGCCTCCTTTCCAAACCTGACACACCCTTCAAAGCCTGCTGCAGTCACAGCCGAGAGGCTAAGAGCTTCAGTTCTGGAATCACGGGCTGGTGTGACCTTAGGCAAGTTATTTAACTTTTCTGAGCCTCAGTTTCCTCATCCGTGAAATCGCATCATCGTTCCTATCTTGTTGTAAGTTGCTGTGGGTTGTTGCAAGGATGAAATGAGAAACTGCACGTGGAGCCCTCAGCACGGTATGGACACTGGGGTGCCAGTAACGGCTGGCCTTTATTATGATACAGTTAGGGCTCTCTTTAGAAACAAAGTAAGGGTCACCCAGCCTCCTAGAGAAGAAACGAGACTTGGTCCTTCTCTTCCAGGCTCAGTCTCTTCCCTCTTCGCTATCCTGCTTCCCTCCTCAGCCGGCAGCAACTATAGAATGATTGATTTAATTAAAGATACTGATTGATCGGACCTGCCTGGTGTGGTTCTGTAATTACTTCGGGCCAGTACATCTCACCTCTCCAACCAGCCTGTGCACTTCTTGGGACAGACTCAGGTCTTTATAGCTCTCCTCCTCCCCTCTCCAGTTTATCTGAAACTGTCTAATTCCCCCAAATATCACTTTCATTAGGTCACTCTCGTGCTCAAAAACATTCAGTGGCTCCCCATTGTCTACCATCAAAGTCAAAACTCCTTACCCTGGCAGTCCAGGCCTCTACAAACTGTCCCACACCCACTTCTCCACCATCATGTCCACACTCCCCCCTACACGTGACCCATCTCGCTCCAGCCAACAGCTTCACTCACCACTGGTAAAACGTTCCTCGGGCATGCTAGCCGTCCTTTCCTCCCGGTGGAAGGCCTTCCTTGCTCTTGCCCATAACAGCCTTGCCTCTCCTTGAGCACCCAGGCTGGCCCAGGGCTACTGCTTTCCCCTCCAGGCCATTCGTGGGTTCCCTGCCACCATCTACTGCTTCTTCCCTCTCTGCCTGTTGGACTGGGTTGTGGGACCCAACCAAGCCCAGGTCTCACGGAGCCTCTGCCCCATCGCCCGGCCCCGGGCCCTGCTGTTTACAGGATGATGTGATGACATCTGCACTCCCTCTTCTAGCTGGGGCTGGATGTCACGGGACGTCCACGCAGACTCGATCAAACTTACGAACTGAAGCCTCAGGAAATGTGTGGAATGTCTGGGACCTACTTTTCCAGGTTGTTTCACACCTTTGGAGTGTCCCCCTTTCTGATACCAGAGAGACCTGAGAATTTGCCAAAACAGCCCTTTGGCCAGGCGTTGAGTCTCAGAACTGAGAGCTGGAACACATGCAGAAAGAGCATCTGGCCCAGGCCATCCGTCTGGGTGACAAAGGTGCTGTGGCAGGGGAGTGACCAGGACACAGTCCATGTGGAGACCCAGGAGGGCCCCACTAGGAGGCCCAGTGTGACCTTGGGCAAACCACTTCACAGCCTCCTGTCTGCAGAAATGTGAGAGGAGTCCCTCCCGCTCGCTGCTTCACAGGTATACTGGTGAGGATAAATGAGGTGAGGAGTCTGCAAATACACTGGGTTTTGTGGAGAAGCGCTGTAATGAGGGACAAATGTGAAAAACCCAATCCGGACTTAAATGAGGATCTCAGACTTCGGGGGTTTTACACTGAAATAAAAATACTGATTTCTATTTGCCTGGTGCGTTACAATGTGCAGAGCATGTCCACCTGTTACTTCATTTAATTGCCAAAACTAAGCAGGTACTATACCCATTTTACTGATGAGGAAAGAACAGGGAACACTTACTGAGCACTTACTATATGATCTCATTAGTCCCTGCAACGCTCTCCTGAGGGTGGCACTGCTTTTGTCTACACATTCTGGATTAGGAATTGATGCCCAAGGTTGCCCAGCAAAGTAGGTGGTGGGGCCAGGAAGGAGCCCAGACCACCCTTACTTGATGGCTTCCTGCCAGTCTCCTGCCCGGACACCCAGCTCCAGGTTATGGCCCTGAGGAATGACAGACCCAGGGAGTCTCTCTCCTGGACCGGGGGAGTCTAGGGGCCATGCGCTCTGCTCCTCCTGCCTGGCTTCTCTCCCAGCCCCTTCGTGTTTACTCCTGACCCACCCAAGCCAGGCCTGTGCTGCCAGGGAGAAGCCTCATCAGCCAGCCTTGGGAGTTCCTCAGCTCCCAGAGGCATCCAGGCTTCCAGGAGAGCCTGAAATAGGCTTGTCTGAGTGTGAGGGGGAAGGCAGCAGAGTTACAACCGGGAGGGGAGCCTTCCTAGAGCACGGGTGTTCCCTCTGGGTCTCCTCCCCGGCAGGGAGTGGAGGTGTGGGTCTAGCTCAGACCCACGGGCAGCTCCACCACCACCACCACCATCGTGGCTGCTGACTCCTCCATGGGGGGTGGGGGATGGGGGGTGCGGGTGTGGCTGGCCTCAGCCCAGTAGGGAGAGAGGAGGTGAGAGTGACGGGTCAGAGGGCTTGTGCCTCAGGCTCTCACTGGGGCCTGTCCTCGTAGATGTGTGTGTGAAGATAGGTGGGAGTTGCGACCAAACTGAGGGGCAGAGGATCTGGGGAGTGGCCTTTGGGACTGCAGAGAAGCTTATCTTTCCCTTACCCCCAATTTAACGCTCCCCTCCCCAACTGGTCGGGTCCTGGGACAGGAAGAGGAGAAACAGGAAAGGAAGGCTGGTGCGACTTGGGGCTGGCCTGGAGGAGCTGAGCCGGCTCTGGCTGGGTTCTCCCCCACTGGGCCAGGCTGGGCTCAGGCTAACACACAGGTGCGGTCAGGTGAAGTGTGAGGTTATCAGCAGGCCAGATCTAATTGCTATCTCAGGCCTGATGCCTCCCCCAGCCCACACCCAGCCCCCTCTAAGAGTCAGGAATAGGGAACTAGAGAGGAGCAGAGAGAGAAAGAAGACCTGCTGAAAGCTCGGACTCTCCAGAAACAGCTCTGCCCTCAGTGTTCAGTTCCTTCCTCTGTATCCCCCATTCCTGGGGAGGTTGGATGGTGCCCCAGGAGCCAGATCTTGGACACATCTCCTACATGTCCTCATTGACAAATGACAGGGTTTGGGACAGAAAATCTCCCAGGTCCTGTGGACTCTGCCTCCTTTCCTCTTGGTGACCTATGTGCACACCTGGGTGCATCCCGAGGCCTGGCACACCTGTGTGTGCCAACACACGGCTGACAGCAGCACTCGAGGGATGCAGTCTGGCGCATCTGTGACTCCACTACCCACCGGGAGCTTGTGTGGGTGCTCGCTCGTGCGGATCTGCGTCTCCCAACGTCTGATGGCTGTGGGATTTGAAATCCCCTCTTAGCTTCCCCGTCACCCCTGGCTGTGTTTCTGGGCCTGGGAGCTGCCAAAATAGCTGCCCCTTCCTCAGGAATCGTCCTGAAACTCCTCAAGAGTGCTGCTTGTTCTTTTTCCTCCAAAATCTGTTTCTAAGTTAGAATCAGGGTGTCTCACTATGGAGCTTGGTAGAAGGGAGAGAGTATGGGGGAGAAAGAGGAGCCAGAGATGGGGCCAGGCCTGGGAGACAGCCGTGCACTTCAACTGTCCTTTCCACAAGCGAGGTTTCACCCGTCTTCAAATAGTAAGATTGCCCTGCTCTGTCCTAGATTTGACAGCTTGCCTCTGCCGAGGACAGGGGGTTGAGCGCGAGTGTGGTCTGGGGCCTCTCTGCCCGCACCCCCAGGGACCAGCACACGTGGGAAGAGAGCATCGATCTGTAGCTATAGTCTGTTACTAGCTTGTAGGGCTTTGGGACATCAACATTAACCACAGGAACGGTGTATGTGTACCAGGGTGGAGGTGTGAATCACAACACTGCCTCTGTGTGTGTGTCCCTTGGGGGCATCTGGTGCCCGAATGACACATGGCCTTTCCTGTCCAGGTGGAGTTTCAGGGTGGGGCCCTGTCTCCTGAAGCATCTCTCTTTCCCTCCACCAAACTGGGCAGGGATTGTATCCTAGGGACCGTCTGCTTCTCCACTCACCTGTGTCTGGCCCTGAGCTGCCTGCTGGCCCACCTACCTGGGGCAGGAAGCAGCCAGCTGGGAAACTGGACCTCAGCATCTACTCCTTCTGAGCTCCATTCTCTCGCCCTTTGCTCTGTGCTTCGAAGGGGCTTTGACTATGGAAAGGGGTTGAGATGGAGACAGTGGTCTGCTCCTCTTTGTCCCCCTTCCTGGCTGAGCCTCAGTGTTTCTGTCTCTGAAATGGGGAGCCCCCACTGCCCCCATGTGAAGGGCTGGTAAGATGTGTGTCCAGACAGCTTGGCTGGGGTCGCTGGTGAGGAAGGCATGGCTGGCTGAGCACGGAGTTCTGAGGCCGGGGAGAGGTGGGGGACGGAGGTGCCTTCCTTCTGCGTCTGGCTCATAGTTCCTCGTAAGCCCCGCGCCCAAAGCCAGGCAGGGCTCAGCTAGGGTTTCACCCACCCTAAGGCGCCCCACGCTGCCCGCGCCGCCGCCAGCCCGGCCCCAATCACGGCTGGGGAGGTGGCGCCGGAGCTCGGACCCGGGCCGAGCCCGCCCCTGCCCGGAGCCGCTGCCGCCCTCCCTCCCCCGGGCCCGGCCAAGCCGGGGCGACACCTACCTCACCAGGATGGCCACCCCCACGTCCTCGCAGTTGGCATAGAGCCGGGCCCACGTAGCCTGCACCGCCTTCCTCTCCGCCTCGGACAGCTCCTCGCTCCGCTCCCTGCGCTCAATCTCCATCTCGCCCGGCACTTTCTCCATGAGCAGCTCCAAGCCCAGCCCGGCTTCGCTCGGTGGCGGCGGGGCGCGGGGAGCCGGGGCCGGCTGCGTGCTCGGCGGGCGGGCGAGCGAGGGGTAGAGCGCGCCGGAGGGAGGGAGCGTGTCTGTCTGTGCGCGCCGGGTGTGTGTATGTGTGTGTGTGTGTGTGTGTGTGTGCAGGGTATATGTGCGGGGGGGGGGCGGGGGACCGCGAGCGGGGGGCGGGAATGTGGTCTGCTGGAAAAATGTAAAAAAAAATAAATCGGCTCCAAACCCCCAACCCCGTGTCCGTGAGCCAATTCTGGCAAGGTGAAGGCTGGGGGGGGGGGGGGGAACGCGGCTGGCTCCCGCCCACCCGCAAGGCCACCGCGGAGTTTGACCGCCGGGCGGGGCTGGGGTGTAGGTGTGGCGGGTGTGCTGGGGGTCTCGGGAGGAGGGGGCAGTCACCCGGGGCGGGGTGGCGCGCGCCGCACAGGAGTGCGCCCCGGCGCGTGCGGGTCTGGGGGCACCGTGTCCCGGCTCACGCTGCGGGCGGTGCCGGGGCGGGTGCGTGTGTGCACCCTTCACGCGGCGGGGAACTGACTCAAAGTCAAACACTCCCAGACAGCTGCGGCGTGGCCGCCCGCCCGAGGGGGCGGACGCGAGCCCCTCCAGCGGCGCCGCGGTGAGAACGAAGCTCCCGCCCGCTCCAGGCCTCCCCCAGCCAGCCGCTGGGAGCCGCGGCGCCGCTCCCAGAGTTCTGGACCCCAGGCTCTGGAGGGTTTAGGGCTGGGGTCGTCTCCCTGCTCGAGTTGCCTGCTGCAGTACCTTACTAGAATCCACCGCTGAGAGGACGGGGGGAGCAGAACTTGAGCGCCAGAGGCCTGAGCCCCGCTTTCCTTCCGGCCAGCACCCCCCCCCCGCCCCCCCCCGCAACTCGGTGCACTCACATGGCGTCGGAAAGAAGTCCCTGGGGGCTTATTAACGACACAGGCCGGCAAAAAACAGGCACTGCCCCGAATTCCAGCCCTGGTGGAGGAAAGTCCAAAGGAGGCAGCCGGGCAGGGCAAAGGGGACCTGGGAAGGTAAAGAAGTCTTGGGGAGACCCAGGCAGCTGGAGACATCTCAATCACCAAGGCCCGGATTAGGGAGGGGTGCTGTGGATGGAGGAGACAAATTCTTGTTCTAGTGGCCCTGCTCAGGGAGGTGTGAGTGCCGTTGGACCAGAGGTGGGGACTATACCTCTGAGAGCCACAGGGGCCCCACTCTGCCAGCAGCTACTCAGTACTGGGAAAGCCAGGTGCCACCTCTGACTCCCAGTCGAAGCCTGATGCCAGACCAGGGCTGCAGCATCTGAAACGCATAGCAGCACGCGTGGAGTGCGTCCAGTTCTCTCTAAGACTCCGTGGTGACCCTGACCTTCTCAAGACTTTGTGTCCCACTGCTTAAGTACTGCAAGAGGTTGGCTCTCCTCTTCAGCTTTGGTTTATGTGTTTATTTTAAAAATCATATTTCAAAGTAGAGAGCCCCAGCGCAGCCCCAGTGCAGGCCCTCCCTGGAGCTCGGGGTTCAGGTACCTTACTGGAATCCCGGGCAGGAGGCCTCTCACACTGCCTCCATCTCAGCTGAGGGAAGAAAAACCAAATGCCTTCTCCTGGGGGTCTTTAGCGGGGATGGAGGAGAGTGCAAGGGTTCAGTTTCTTACATCACTCTCAGACCCATGTCTTCACTTTGGTCCCCCCTGCCATTGCTGCCTAGGCCAAGACTGAGCACACCATCCTGGGCTGCTTCACAAAACTCCTGTGATAGCTTCCCAAAGCCAGTGGCAGTGGCCTTCAAATTGGGTGCCCAAGAGGTCCACTGGGATGTGGAAAGAAAGTAGGAGAAATCTTATTTCTGTTTACTTTGTCATCCTTTACCAGGTTTACGTATGTCTATGGTGCAGGACTGTATTTGCACATTAGTATAATACATAATTTGTGAGTGGATGCATATATCTATTTCATGAGTGCCTTTTACTGAAGAGGGTATGGAATCAGAAACGTTTGGAGAGGAATGTCCAGAGTGCAGACCTGAACCACTTAGCCGGCCCTTCACTCCCTGGCCTCCCCTGTCTTTCTGGCTTCATTATCTAATATTCTTCCCCGTCCTCCTCCCCTCCCCATGCCTCCCATGACATCATTGCTCTGCTGCCACTCAACTTCCAGTTGCTGGAACATGCCCTGTGTTTTCACATCTGCAGCCCTGGCAGTCCTCTGACGGCCCGTCCTTCCTCGAGCACCTGCAATTTCAGGTGCCCCCAGCTCCTCTTTGAAGCTTCCCCTGATGCTTGCAACGCCCAGAGTGCTCTACAGGTGCCGGTAATTGCCTAAGTCACTCGACTGTGGTCATCCGTTTAACTTGCCAATGCATTTGTCTACACTATAAGCCCCCTGAGGGCCAGACTCAGGTCTTGGTCGTATCTACATCCAGCATAGATTGAGGTCGATTTACCCTGCCACAGAGGGGGACAACCCAGGCCCAGTGAGGTTAATCAGTCTTCACAAGGTCAGGTCTGCTGACCCCACTAATCAGCTTGAGCCTCCTAATCCAGCGCCAGCAGGAACCTCAGGACAGACAGTGGTGGCTTGGGAGAGCTGGCGGGGCCATTTTGGCCTCCTCTGCAGACTCGGTCCGGGAGGGGATGGGGCGGTTGAGCCATGTGCACCACCCTCTTCCTGCTTAGCACCTTGGCCATGCTCTGGCGCCGCCGATTCGCCAACCGGGTCCAACCGTGAGAAACTGACTAGGCCATGGGCTGGGGTGCGGGGAGAACCACAGGGCTGGGCTACAGCAGAGCTGAAGGTGGCCAGGGGCTGCCTGGACCTCCCGGGAGGCTTGGGAGGGATTTGCAAGAAATCCCTGAGGGTCTCCCCCACAGAGCAGGGGGAACTTGGAGCTCTTTAAAGACACTGGCTGCAGCCTGCAGTCCCACAGCCCAGTGTGGCTAAATCTTGCAGAAAAGCGGGAGAAGAGGTCTGGGGTCTGAGCGCTGCCCACAGCGCTTCCTGCCTCTTCTTCCCTCCCACAGAGAGCCCAGCGGAGTGGATGGGGCAGTTACAGGCAGCAGCACGGAAACAGACCTCCAGTCCTCGGGCAGGTAAGGCAGAGGGGAGTCTGGGGTGTAGGAGGGAGGGTGCTGCCAAGGAAGGTGCCGCTGTCCCCTGACCCTGTCTGTGATGAGCAGGGGTGTATGCTGGCCCTCGCCCCAGCTACCCTGTTCCCTGTATGCCTGGTGGGCATGCTGAATGTATTCTCCAGTTGGGAATGGGAGCCCCCAGCCTCTCTGGACCAAAGCTGCTCTGCCTTGCTTGTCTGAGTGCAGGGTGGTCCCCAGGGTCCCTTCTGTCAGAAGGAAGGCTCAGGGGCAGTGGAGAGAGGGATGAGGCAGACGCAGCTCAGCGTTGCTTTGCTCGCCTTCCCTCCCCCCTCCCTCTCCCACTGCCCCCGCCCAGCCTCAGCGGCTCCACTGCCTGAGCCTCCAGCAGGATTCGCTGTCCAGGCCCCAATAGGAGGCGCAGGAGAAGCATGACATCATCGGCACTGAGCGCCATTGGCTGGGCAGCCCCTGCGGGCAGGACACTGTCTCCAGTGGCCAGAAAGTTAACTCTTCCCTAGGTGGAAGCCATGTGGCCTTTACGAGGGGTGAAGTTTTGGGAACTTACAGACTTTTCTTTCCCTGGGTGACCAGTGTCCTTTGATGATAGAGGCACCTTTGCCCCCCTCAAATACTGAAAAATAAACAAATGCTTATTAAGAACGTACTGTTTGAAGTGTTCCTTTATGCCTATGGACCCAGCTAGTGCCGAAGCCCAATCTGAAGAGTGACATTCTCCCCTGCAGGAGTGTCTACTAGCTCCCCGGCGCTGCTTCTCTCGCTCCTAGTGAAACAAAGAGCGTAGTTCCTAGTGAAACAAAGAGTGTGGCGCACTCGGCTCGGACCCCTGGAAGGAGGGTGTCTGCCCGCAGGGCTCAGAAGGCTGAGTCAGCATGCATGCATCCTGTGCACCCCACGAATCTCTCAGGGTGGGGCACTTGCCTGCCATGTGCCCCCTTGCTATGTGGAGACTGGCAGGCTGAGAGAACCTGAGGCTTTCTCTATGTCTCTGCCCCGGATTTCTCAGTCCTGGGATTCCCCCAGGTTCTGAATGTCACAAGTCCCACGGGGAAGCCCTGGGTGTGTGCGGGGGAACAGAGGCATTTCTGTCATGCCCTTCCTCCACATCTAGGCTAGCTGAGATGGTCACAAAAGTGCCTAATTACTACTACTAGTGCAATGGGCTGGCATATTTAAATGACCATCCCTGGGCCTCCCACAGAGGAGGCCCTCAAATGCCAAGTGGTCCTCACTGTTGAGTTTGGATCTAGATTTGGGCAGCCAGAGTTTAAATCCTGGCTCCCCTCTTACTAACTGAGAGACTTGGGGCAAATTATGTAACTTTTTACCTGTGTGGAAACTGGGATTCCTAAGAGAGTGGTTGCGAGGGTTTTGTGAGGTTTAACTGAGTGTGTGTGAAGCAGTGGGCACAGAGCGACCACACAGTGCAGGCTGGCTCTTCTCTCGTTGGGATCTGACACTTGACCCGTCTTTACTCACCCCCAGTCTCAATAGCCTTGAAGGGTTGGGAGGACAACTGCTTCTATCTCTTGTTAACGACCAGGGCAGGGAGACGTAAATTCCTTGCTCAAGGTCATCCATGCAATTTGTGGCTGACGTGGGACTGACAGGTCCCTGACTTCAGGCAGTCCATCTCCTCTATGTGAAGTGGGCCTGGACCTCCTGTCGGGAAATGAAAGGCCAAATCTGGGACCATCTGGCCAGGCCTGGCCTGGTGTGGCCCAGCCAGAAGGAAGCAGTTGCCTATTAACTCCTTGGAACCCAGTTAACTAGAAAAACTGGCTTACCATTTAACACCTCCTGCTGATGGTGGCTGCCATGGAGGGCGGGCCCAGGGTGATGGTAGGGGTGAAACGTCTGCTCGCCAACTCCACAGTCATAAATTCCAACTCTACGGTTCCTTGGGTGCTCCTGCCCCTTGCGGTGGGTGAACTGCTGGGCCCGGGGTGGAGGAAGAAGTCGGGAAACACGGGAAGGCCATCCTCTCCAGTTCTCCGTCTCCTGCGCTTTCTCTGTCAGGGAGAACGAGCCCCTGAAGTAAGCCCTCAGCTCTGCAGGCCGAGCTCAGCCCAGGGACCGGGATCAGCTGCGAGGCAAGTGGGGCAGGGCCGGGAGCCCGGGAGGGCAGAGGGCAAGGCTCGGGACAAGGAAGGAAGGATATGTAAGGCCTGGCCACGGGGGAGCAGAGCAGGCCGTCTTCAGCTCTGTGATCATCGACAGAGGTGAGGAGTGGGAGGTGGACTCCTTCCATGAGCCCCTACCTTGAGCCTGTTCTGTTCCAGGCTGCGGGCCCAAGGTTAGTTTTCAGAGAACCACATGTGATCTTTAGAGCATTTTCTAGACTTGGGATAAGGCAGTGGTTACGCTGGGGGACTGAGGGCAGTGCTAGAGGACTTCCAAGGGAGAGGTGGTGTTCTGCAACATCCGCTCTGCAACAGCAGCCCCCACCTTGGCATGGGAGAAAGTGCCGATCTGGTCTGGTTTTCTTTTCAGCTCAAGTCCTGGTTTGCCCCCTACCCCAGAAGGATGCTGTGGTGGAAGAGGCAGGAGCAAGAGGGAGAATGGGAAAAAGAGGCAATCGAGAAGGTAGGCTCCTCGCCTCAGCCCCTGCCCCTGCCGGTCCTGCTTCTCCCCAGGCCCTGGCTGCCGGGCTCCTGCAGCAAGGCCTGGCCAGGGCAGGCAGGAGGGACAGAGGTGCTCATTGCTCTGGGACAGGCTCCCATCCTCTGAGTTCCTGAGGCTCATCTGAGGCAGCCCCAGAGAGAGGTACTGGGTGGGATGCACCAGGTTAACTCTGGGCCAGCGCAGCACCCCAGGAGACGGGGAGGAACAAACAGGGGCGAGGAGACTCCAGAACCGAGGGGCAGCTGGGAGCTCGTGTTTACTAAGGAAGGGCTCCCATTCATTCTCTAGTCTAATCCTCGCCACAGTAATGCACGGACACTGGACACGTTATGCACATTTCAGAAACGAGAAGCACAGAGGGAGGTTAACTAACTTGCCCGGCATCGCCCGTCTGGTAAGTGGGGGACCCCAGGCTCATATGGAGGCTGCAGAACCCATTTTCTTAGCCTGAAACCACCTGGAAGTTTGCAGGTGACAGAAGGGGTTTCACTGGCCTGGCCGCCTGTTCTGGCAGCTCTGGAGCTATCCCGTTAAACCTTGGCTTGTGGTCCAGGGCAGTGCGGTGTCAGTCTGTGGTGGTGGCACTCACTTCCTGTGGCATTTGCCTCTCCCTGGTCCCCAGAGCTCACCCTGTCACTGGCTGCTCTGCTGAGATTATCAGTAAGAAATGCCAGTTGGATCTGTGACATGTCTGCCTGTGGCTGGATGGAAGCAACCCACAGCTTGTCCTCTGTGTTTTCCGTGTGTGTGTGTGCGCGCGTGCGTGTGTTCCAAATGGGCAGTAGCATGTGGGAAGGGAAAAAGCATGACACTTGTTTTTGTCAATCTGCTGACTGCTCAGTAACAGCGGCGCAGCCTCTTTGCCCCCAGCTGCTCTGCCAGTTCTCTCTCTTTACAATCCTGCCCGATCTGGAGCAGAGATAAAAGCAGATTTCCGCTTCTGCTCCCTGAGATCCAGGCGCAGACCCTGCAGGCAGCTGCTCCGACTGTCTCACAGCCATTCATCTTCCAAAGCCCCCCGCCCCCCACATGCACGTGCATCTCTCCATCCCATCCAGCCCCCTCTACCCACTCAGTGGCCAGGTCCATGCCTGGCTGGCCCCTGCCCCTGACTTTCAGGAAGCAGGACATGGAGGAGTTCTCTAGACAGCAGCCCCGCAGCCACCACTCCACATCCGAGGGAAGGAGGGGAGGGTGAGATGCAGATTGAGGGAACCCACTCTGAAGCCAGGGGGCGGAGGCTGTACCCTGCGAGGAGCCTGGCAGTTCTGTGGGAGCCTCGCTAAGTAGGGCAGGGCGGAGGCAGAGGAAGGGTCGCACCAGGGGAAGGAGCTCTGTGCTGGAAGCGCGTCCAAGCCCCACTGCCCACTTGACACGGGCCATGAGTTTGTGACCACCTGTCTCAACTCCTGTCAGCCTGTCTGTCTCCTGGGAGGCATGGGCCTTCCTGGTGACAGGACTGACAGGCTGGGGGCCAGAGGGCACTGTTCCTGAGCCCCAGTCTGTGTCCCCCGATCCTATCTGCATTCATTCTCTAATCTATTTGCCATGTTCCTGTCACTTCATCCTTGCCGCTGCTCTCTGCCATTTCCAAGTTGCCTGTCTCCTTCCACTGGTCCGAGGAATTGTCAGGCCAAGGTCACCGAGCTGTACCGGGGCTGGCTCACAGCCCAGACACACATCCACAAAGTGACACCCCTTTGCAGCACTGTTCTAAGAACCTGCTCAGGAGACCACGGCTCCTCCAAGGATCTGTTCCGGGTGAAGGGAGGGAAAGCGAGAGGAAGGGGCTGCTGGCAACGGGGGGATGTGTCTGCCCGGGCTTGGAGGTGCCTGGGCCCTGGCAGCTGGGGTGCCATGTGGGCTGGGAGGGAGGGGCTCTCTCCCCAGGGAGCAGGCTGGCTTTGGTGGGAGCAGATTGTGTTTACACCTTCCCCACACACGCAGCCCCCGCTCGCAGCTTATTCCCGGGGCTCCCCCACCCGGGGCTCTCTGCACAATCTGCGCATCTGCAGCTCCTGCTGCAGAAAGTTGCCGCCCTCGGCCTAGAACTCCTCTACAGAAGGCTGCCTGGGACCAAGGCGCCCCTTCCTCGGCCCACTATCTCCCATCCTGGGGACTGGCGTGGAGCCCATGGCGGGGGCGGGCCCAATGTCCCCGTGAAGCTGAGTCCTCCCTTCCCATTTCCTTGGTAAAAGCTGCTGTTTGAAAACGGGAGCAGGAAAGTTCAGGGGCTTGGGAGACTGACCATAATAGGAGGGAGGGGATTAAGGGCAACTGGAGAGACAGAGCTGAGGCTGAGGCTGGGTCAGTCCTGGTCCAGGGTGCTGGCTGTTATGAAATAACCATAAAGAGTCTAAGAGCAGGGAGGCCAGAGCCAGAGCACTGGATTGGAATTTTGACTCCACCACCACTTCCTACCTCTGTGGCCTTGGGTAGGTTACTGAACATCTCTGTGCCTTAATTTGCTCATCTATAAGATGGCGGTAACAGCAAACCTATCTTACAGAGTTACTAGACAGGTTAAATTAGGTAATGTGTGTAATGTGCTTAGCAGGCTTAGTTAAGTGTTCACTCTATGCGAGCTGCTGTGACTGTTTGTGAACTGTCACTGAACAATTAGTAATTTCAGAACAATGAGTAGAGGCCCTAGCTTCCTCACCCCGTGGCCCTTCCTGCTTGGTCTTTCCACATACTCACGAGGTGGGCGATGGGCAGTTTGAAACAAACTAGAGGACAGCAGAGCAGGGACTGCTAGGTGGGGGCACCTAGTAAGACCCAGCACCAGTAAGACTGTACGAGAAGGCACCACCATTGCCTCTGTTGGCCCGACCCCTGCCCCAAGCTCCACTGGGGGTCATGGCCTGGACACCTGCCCCCTCACTGGCTCTGTGTCCCCGAATGAATCTCAGCTCCTCAGGAAGACAG